TGATATATATGTATATATATATATGTATATATATATGCACATATGTGTGTGCATATGCTGCATCTACCCCCTAACCACCTACTCCTTAGTTCATTAGTTCCGGATTTAAGTCACAGATAGACTTTGGGAGGAATTAGGGAATATTCCGTGACCTAAACACACTTATGTGCATGCAGGTGTGTGTAAGTACATGCACCAATGCATTTGGGTGTGTGTCCATGTGTACCCGTTTTGTGGAAGAGAACTTCTAGTATTTGTAAGTTTCTTAAACAATCTTTCCAAAGAAGGGTAAGAACCAGAACCATCTTTTTATATTTTATGAATTGTTTGTAGGTTTGCTCCCATCAAGATAAAGTAGGACAAATTTATTTTGAAAAGCAGGCATATTCTTGGCTTATTGTTCCATTTTCACATCTTCAGATAAAAGCATATAAAATTAGCCCCAGTTGTTTATCTGTGAACATATTCAGTTTGGGGCAGCACAACATAAGAAGCAACTTTCAGATGACTCCCAAAACTGAGCTCCAGAAGTTCTTCCATGAATAGGCAACCTTGTCATTTCCTCTTAACCAAGCCTTACTGCAAGATGCTTTGTACAAGCAGTCTCCTTTGGATGTGATAGAGATGCCTGCTTTTCACCATATCATTTTAAATTCATTTCACACCGCCCCCATAGGTTAAAAATAATAACTACCCAATATCAGGGCTTTCTGGAAAAAAACCACACATACATTTTTCATCCTTCAGCAATCCCTGAACGTATGTAATATGATTGTTCCAAAGATGCAAAGCTAGAAGCAATAGGGCAACGATTCAAACACTGGGTTTCGCTTTTCAGGTTTATTCAATAAATCTGGGAAGACACTAGTAAACAAAATATTTCTTCCCTCAACGTTACTTTCTGCTTCTGTTTGCTTATCTTTCCACTATTCAGGCTTGAGACCTAAAACCTAAAGCACTAAGAAGTGTAACTCTAGCTCATCTTATCATTTCTAGCAGTTTTAGAAAAATTGGACATCTTCCCTACTTACCAACACTTTTAAGATCTGGTAGGGTCCTCACAGGTTGTGCTTACCACTGGGTAAAGATACTTCTTCTTCTGTGTCAAATCCAAGGAAAGGCCATGTCTGGATACTGTCTTCAAAATGACAGCTTAGTAAATTAGAAACAAGGGTAAACTTGTTAGCAGTTAAATATTGTTCAAACTTAATTTTCCTAAATAAATAGAATTGTAGTTTGGGGAAGGTCCTCTTCTATCTTGTTTTCCCAAGAATGAAAAAAAAAAGCCCTCAAATTTAGCTGTAGAAAAGTATGCTCACTTCTTATTATCCATCTTGCTCCCTTCTATGTAATACTCTAGGCTACAGTGCTACTGCAGTACTAAAACATGTTTCCTCTTGAAGGCTATGGGGACATTTTCACCACTACTAGTCTTACTTTGATATTATTTGCTATATGGGGCATAAGCAGTTTAAGCCCTGAAGATAATTGTAGAAATGTTTGTAGAGTCATCAAAAGAGCTGCTCAACAATAGGAAGATTGCATTATACTTTGATAATAGGAAGCTTTGTAAACTGCTACAATTCTGCAGGGTTTTTCATAATTGCATTCCTTTTCTTCCAAACATCTCCTAAGATGTTACATTATTTTTTTCACCAATCTGATTTTTCTCATTAGCATTTACTTTTTTGTTATGCCCATAACCCCCATAACTGAGAAAAACAGAAATTTAATGGCACTTATGACCCTAAAATTCTTTGTGTAGTTGACAGTGTTATTAAGATAATAATGTTCATATAATAATAACTCAAACAACTAATAGAATCAAATAGAATTTTGTTCTTGGATAAATCACAGCTCTTCCATTGGTAACCTACTCATTTGACTTTCTTTGATATGCTAAGATTATAATCGTTACTGTGCAAATTATTTCAATTTTTATAGAGAACATGCTTCAAGAATTTCAAAACCGTAAAGTGATGTATAATCTTGTTAAGAACACTTAGACCGGGCGTGGTGGGACATGCCTCTAATCCCAGCACTTGGGAGGCTGAGGCAGGAGGATCGCTCTGAGTTCAAAACCAGCCTGGCCTACATAATGAGTTCCAGGTCAGTTTTAACTACATAGTGAGACCCTGTCTCAAAAAAAAAAAAAAAGAAATAGGGGTGGGGGGGTAGGTCAGTGATAGAGTACTTTTCTAGCCTGTGTGAGGTCCTGGGCTCCATCTCCAGCAAGAAAAAAAAAATGGGTGGAAGAAAAGGAGGAAGAGAGGGAAAGAAAAGGAAGTACGTTATGTTTTAAGTACCTATTGCTTACTGAAAACAAAGGATTATAGTGCTAGTAAAAAGTGAATTGAGAAATGAAGTAAGTTAAGACTCAGTTTGATCTGCATTTTAATTCAGGTCTCAGAGCTGCATGACACATAGGAATAGAAATGTACTCTCAACTGCATATAAGAACTTCCTTTGGGGACCTGGGGACCCGGGTTATTTATTCAACACTGTTTCAAATTAATAGCTAAAACCACTAAGCAGCCTCAAATTTGCCAAGGCCATGTGATCTTGGCATAAATTTGGCAAGGAAAACAAAGGAGAAAGCAAGCAAGGAGTAGAAGATATGGGGAGTTTGTTTAAGATTAGCATCTCAAAGTGAGGTGTGAATGCACATTTAATGATGCTAAGAATGTGTACAGTCTTAGCTATGGGTTTTGTTGCTTCCTGGGACTTCTAATCCCAATGTCTTCTTCTCATTCCTGATGTCTTCGTTCTCTTTAAGCAGCTCATTCTGATGTTTGTTTTCCCCCTATGTCTACTTAATCATGTGACTTCCTTTCTCCTGGGAGGGCAGGTTTTCTCCTTATCTCTTCTGTGCATGTCTGTTCTTAGCCAAAAGCTCCAAGCTCAATGAGGCTGGACTCCCTTCTCGACAGAGGGTTGGTCTCAAAGTAAGCAGCAGCAGGAGTTGAGCCAATTCTGTAGTCAGATCACAACTTAGCACAACCCACTAGAGGTGCACCAATTCGTGAGAATATGGCGGCTGCATCTGCCCAGGTTCCCCCCTTAAGTAAACCTGCTCAGTTTTTCCATTTTATTTTATTGTTGTAAAAAAAGGTGATGCTACAGTAAATGAGGCCTTACAGATGATTCCTTTACTTTTTAGAAGAATATTTGCTTGAATTTTCTTAAAATATCAAACTTTGTCATTTCTACCAGGACTGCTTCACACTTGGCAAAGTACTTTATCTGCAGAATTCTTTGCATCTTCTTTTTCCACTGTATAGCTGCTATTTACCCCTCTGAAACGAATTTAAACATTTAAAGTGGAAACCAAATCATCTATACTTTTGCTCTGGGCTGGGATGAGGGAAAAGCTGGTGAGTTATATGATTTAAAAGAACAAGACTCTCTTCCCTTTCTGTGCATTTGTATTTGATACATATTTATGGGGTATAGTGCAATAATTCCAAATATGTATCTAATATTTAATGATTAAATGAGAGTAATTAGCATATCCATTTCCTCAAATATTTATCATTTCCATGTATGTTGAAACTTCAGTCTCTTCTAAATTGTATGAAAAATATTATAAATGATTTTAAACAATAGCAAATTTCACCTATTTATCCTCTCAATTCTTGCTGCTTATCTCCCTGTACAATAAGAAAGAAGAGGGAGGGATACAGAGGATTTAATTCCCCCTTCTCTGTGTGTGTATAAGCATTAGTGGGAAAAAGAGATGGACATCCCATTCGTACCAAGAATATTGCTGCTACAGAATTTACCCCTACTATAACAGAAGGATTACAGTCCTAACCTTATCTTCAAAGTTTGGCATAAGATACCTGGCTTCAATTATTATTATTGTACTGTTCTCCTATATCGATAGTTTTTGAAAACAAAAGACATTCTTAGAAGTTTTTCCATTTACAAAACATTGGAATTCTTGATTACTGAAAATTAAATGAATGCTTGAAATGAGCCACACTTTTTTTTTCTAAATGGGAAATGGGTTAAAGAGAGTGTCACATATGAAATAAAACCCAACATTTAGCTATGAAAAATATCTGACTGAACAAATATGTTTAAGCATAAATTGATTAATGAATGGATCTTAACAGTGTGATAACTGCTCGCTATTAATTAGCAGATAATTAATGAGGGCCTTAGTTACACTTCAAGCTGTCTATCTTGAGCTTTTATTTTTATTAAAAGTTCTGCCAGGTTAAAGTCATTAGTAGCTATCTTTAAAAGGTATCAAGAGTTTCACAAATACAACAGCAGTGTCTAATAGAAATGTAAGCCAAATACGAACTAAAAAAAAAATATATAATTTTAAAATTTTGCCATACTAAACAGCAGCAGATAAACTTTATAATGTATTTGACTAAACTCAATTATCCAATGTATTAAAATATTATAATTTTAATGTGACATCACTACAAAATATTAATGCGATATTTTACCTTTTTTGTACTAAGCCTTCAAAATCCAATATGTATTTTGCATTTACTATTCATTTCAAGCTAGACTAGATACTTTTCAAGTATTCAAGAACTGCATTGTATTGGCGGCTGAACTGACAATACCAAACTGGAAATCCATTCTTCTTAGAATTCATAAGATCTCTCTACTGCTTATAACATTTTTGTTGTTACGAAAGGAAATGGAAACAGAACTTTGCATACTATATGAGTAGTAAACTTCCCTCAACTGAAACAGAGCAGTCAAAGAGTTCCACTGTGAAAAAACAGATTCTGGGATTAAATAAGTTTGGGAAATTCCATTCTTTTACCTTCTTTTGGAGGTTGCACGGTATGTTAACATTACAGAGAAAATGCTCCCAGATAAAGCATCCTATTTGAAGTTGACTTGTTGAACTCTGTGTCTATAGGAGTTCTAGAAATTGCCATAAGTGTCTCTACATAAAAAAGCTTTGTGTTTTCCTCTCCTTCTCCATTCTTTTCTGGGCTCATATCTACTTATCTTTATATTCAGAATCATCTGGAAAATATGATATCGCTCATGTTAGAGAATAACCACTTACTAAATTGAAGCCAGCAGATCGTTTTAAAGTCTTACACATAAACACAGACCTTTAGAAAGCACTGAATACACACTTTCCTCTTATTCTTTCAGAAATAATGAATACTCTAAAAACGGGGAAGAAATATCTGAATGTGTATATGTGTAAAAAGGGATCCATATGTGTAGCATACAATTTCGCAAGTCTTTTTCATATTTTATGTGCTTCAATGTGTATTCTTGTGTATAAAGCAGTTATGACCTAGTAATCAGTATAGAGAGTATATAGACTATATTTGTCTACTGTCAATTTATAACAAATAACCTTTTGCAAAGTGGTTTTTAGTGTGGTCTTGGATGTTGCCTCCTTAAGTTTTCTTTTAATATCTGTGCTTAAGTGGAAATTGCCAATAAAATAAATTCTGCTGCTGAATTTGATTCAAGTTAACTGTGGTAGCTCATATATATGGATGTATTCAAATAAGCAGATTGATCAAAATGATCCCTTTTGTCTCTATTCTGTCAGTTAGTATTTAAATATTAGAAATGTCTTCTGAAGACTGTAGCAGCAATAGAATAATTTTGCTCTTGAAAATTCAGTGTAACATTTTTATGTAGACTCTCCAGGAACAGGAGAATAATATTGTAAATGTGGAAGTTTGGTTTTAGAATCTGTAAAGAAGCACAGGCCATTCTCTGAAAAGGTAACAGCTTTGTCAACTTTGAGTATCTAGGGGATATCTTCTTGGAAGGGAAGACTGATTTTAATGGAACTAAATTAACAAGTTTCAAAATTGGATTTTGTAGAATACAGTTATTAGGAAAACCCCTTTGCAAAGTCATATATAACTTGGGAATAATTAAGCATTGTGTATTAGTTTTGGAATGTGCATTTCCCAGTGAATTGAATTTGCTTCACCAAAAAGCATCCCCCCCCACACACATACAAGTTGCACTACTTACAGAAATACAATCGTATCATTGGAGAAAAAAAGTTCATCTTCCTCATTCTACTTTCATAAGCAACAAATCAGGGTAATCACCTACTTATTAGAGGGACAGTACAAAGGAATAATCAATCAATATAGTATAACTGCTTCTTCCTAATTGTACCCAAGAATAAATAAGTACCATTACTTAAAGTACTATTGAATTTTTAAGAACTACTCAATGAATTAGTGTTATTAATAAATTGTACTCTTTGCAATATATTTGTCTTGCATAAATGCAGAACTAAGATGTAAAATTATTTTAAAATATAACAAATAATATAAATTAGTTATTACCACATTAAAAATCCTATTAATTTTCCATAACACTAAATCTAACACCGGTTATCTGTTGTATATAATGTAAGTTTTGAAGGACTTGCACATAAAATAAAGGTAAGTTAATTGACCACTTGCTAATTAGTATATTTCATTAAGGGTATTCTGAGGCACTTTAAAGATGCAGCAGTAGTAATTAATCCTACATTTAGAGCAGAACACTTTGCCAGGTATTTTACCATATCATAAGATGTCACACAACCATATTTTATAATAAAATCAAATTCTCAAATATTTTGGCATGTTACTACTTATTATACCAAAACATCACTCTCTATAAGTCTATTACTATGTACATAATATTTTTAAAATAGTGAGAATTTCAGTCCTAGTGAGAAAGCATAATGCAAGATATGACATTAAATTGATCAGAGAAAATCCACTTAGGTGTTTGACAGGGAAACCAGCCAACTTAAGCTGTGATGTCTATGTTATTCTCGAAGTTAAAATGATAATACAGAAAGACTTTAACACTGGAGTTAGTTGGTCCACAGACCGACCAAGAAAGTCCAATTTACAAATGTACAAATGTTATTGGTTGATCTTGGAGGGGGAAGTCCTACAGTTTGTGGATGTTGCTTCTGTTCACAGCCCACGGGATGGTATAATGAAATCTCTCTAAAAGCAAGATTGATTCAGAAGCTTCAAGATTATGCACCTTCCTGTTTTAAAAACTACTGCTACAGCTACAATGTTCTAAACACTGTGATCTTTCTGATGTGTTTTCTGTACTAGTTTTGTACTGTAGAAAATAATTCATCATAAACTGTGCTGTGCAGTATTCAAAGTGAAGTTAATAGCTTACTGCTTCCCTGCCCCACAACACGGTTCGCTTAATATTGTAAAACCTGTGATAATCCTTTGCCTTAAAATAAAATCTAATGCTAAATATTTACCTTGTTGCAATTAATAATCTACTAATTAATTTTCCTTTTAAAGCTAACCATAGTGTCAAATAAAATCTTACACAAATACTCTATGAAGTGCTGCTGATTTTGTGTTTATGGCACTGTGTGTTTCTTGATCCAGGACACGATGGCCTGCTGGGTTCTATAAATAGACATCAGTAATCCTTTTGGAAAAGGGGCCTGGTACCTCTCAGCTGTGGGCTGAACCCTCCTCCCAAGTCTTATAAATAGATTTTTCTCATGCCCTACAACAACCAAGAAAAACAACCCATCATGTTCTATCCCATTGCATCTTTTTCTTGATCCCTTCTGAATCTTTATATTGTGTTCTTCATATTACTTTCCTAAAAAGAAAAATCACGGAGAAGCCTGAAGAATGAAATCATCTAATTTCAGCAGAGAAAAGATCTTAATGTCTAATCACAGGTTAAAACCTGTGTTTTAAAGAGATGCAGTGAATTGACTAAGGTTTGCAGGTTAGGGCTGAGGTGAGTCCATCTTGGTGTCTAGCAAGTGGTTCAAAGTTTAGTACGTGCAAAGGAATTGTGTTAGTCTTAAAATTGTTTTAGTCTTACTAGCGTTGGCACATCTGTAAGAAGAGGTATGCCTCGGGCTAGAAAACTCCTTATTAGGTCCTACTCTTTGACCTTAGTTAGTCACAGTTCTAAAGGAATACATTCTGTACACAGTTTTACTCAGAGGGAAAGCATGAGCTCCTAGAGATCATATCTGATGCTCTTTCATCATTGGAAGGAATACTTCAGACCACTGCATTTGGAAGTTTATTTCTAAATGACAGTAAATTCTGGCCCTTTTGAAGAACCAGGCTTTCCTCAGCCCAGAAAATAAAGACTAGGCTGAAAAGGCGTCCATACTCCAATCTTGTGCTCTACTGTGTGCAGTTTTCCAAAGGCCTGTGAATGGTTTCCAAAGGAAGCACCAGAGGAGCGACGCTAGGACCCAGAGACTGCGCAGGGGACCAACCTGATTCGCTGTGTCTTTCTGGGCTCCCGCGCAGCGCGGCGTGGCGCGGCGTGGCGCAAGTTGTCTCACGACACGGGTTCGCGGCCAGCAGCGAACAGTTGCCTCAGCGACGCCGCGGAC